CATAGCGAACGAGTTGGGATATATAAACACCGTAAGACGGTACCAAAAGAACATCACCGTCCAAAAAGGGAAAATTAACAATAGGGAAAGAAAAATCATCCCTTTTGTCGTACATTTTTGTGTAGAGTTTCTGGTGTAATACTTAAATATCTAAATCTAGGAAAGTACAGTTATTGCTGTTGATATAAGAATTATTTAAAGTTATTTCCTTTGGGTAATTTTCAGCAGTATAGTTAGAGAATTCTTGATTTTTTAACAAAAAAATATCATCAAAATAACGGTAAGTGTTGTTGAATTTATCAATTCAATAGAATGTAGACGATTCTTTACTGAGTTGGGCCATTAACTGTGATTCATAACAGTAAAGGAACAAGTTTGCTATTAAAGGGACACAATTGTTTCCCATAGGAATACCTACAATCTGTTTTTAACATCTATGTCGTCTGTGTTCTAAGTACCGAACGTGACCTATTCCCAAATATGACTGTTTTGCCGAGTGTGAATTTGCATTGCTATACGACGTATTTCGGTATTTATACATCCATTATTCATGTATTTATTTATGATGTTTCTGTTGTGGTTTCACTTAGATATTGTGTTACGTCTTTTCGTTTGTGGTTTGAATTCTGTGTTTTCGGTACATTTCACATATGTCTTATTTGTCAATAGAGTTGAGTTAATTTCCATTTTTCATGGATAAAGTATTGTGTTAGTCAAAATAATTATGATGTCGTCACAGCATTTATTTAATATACCCTTTCAATACCGTCATAGTCATGATAATTGTTTGGACTAGTATTGTGAAAATAATTGTATGAATTTTAAGATTATATATTCGTTACAAAAAACGTCATTGTTTGTGATGTCCTGTGCTGTCGTTAATGGAAGATGTTTGTTGTTATGCTGCGGTTTACATGTTGTAACGACTATTATTTTATTTATTTGTGCGTTTCTTTGTGCTGAGTGTTCTTGCGTTTGTTTGTTCTGTATTTCTGTCACGTAGTGTTGTCATTTTAGCGATATTTATTTACATTGCCATATAAGTGGGAGGTTTGGCTAGCCATAAAACCAGGTTTAACCCACCATTTTTTTAAATGTCCTGTACCAAGTCAGGAATATAACAGTTGTTATCAAATAGTTCGTTTCTATGTATGTTGGCGTTTGCTTTTGTTGCACTTCAGTGTTTCTGTTGTTCCGTTGTTTTCCTCTTATAGTTGATGTGTTTCCCTCGGTTTTAGTTTGTAACCCGGATTCGTTTTCTCTCGATCGATTTATGAATTTTGAACAGCGGTATACTACTGTTGCCTTTATTTACTAGTATATTATTAGGTCAGAGATTTCGTTACAACAAATAACTTAAAACCTTTACTAAATTCTTTCATAGATTTGGTTTGCAAGTTTGGCTGTACCTGTAGAAAACGTATTTCAAACGGAATAGCACATCCTAAATTCTACGGTGATTTTGTAAACCGAGCCCGGAAATTTAGATACGATCCGGGTAAACTTATTCTAAAAGGTTACCTACTCAACACTGTAATTAAATCTTTTAATATTGTTTTTATTGGTGAAAATATTGATTTTGTTATCATTAAATTAAAACCATACTAAATATTACACATATGTACTTTCACGGTACTACAATATGTCGATACTTATAGTTTGGCATTGCACAAGGTCATGTTTTTTTCTCTGACTGTTAATGACGTCTTTACACTAAATCCATTGGATGTTGGATGTGTACTGATTGATATTTTAGTCTTAGATACATGATTTTTTTATTAGTTGTTATTGGCTTTGAACTAGCTGCCAGTAACTGCGAGTACTCTCAGATCTGTACTTAGCATGCTTAGAGTCGTATTATTTTTGGGATGTATAAGTACCCGTCCATGTCCACTTTGTGTTTTTGTTAGATGTACTTCTATTTGTATCCATCTGTTGAGTTAATCCTTTTTCAACTGATTTTTATAGTTTGGTCTTATGTTGTACTATTACACCACTGTCCCAGGTTAGGGAGAGGGTTGAGCGTTCACAAACATGTTTAACCCCGCCACATTCTTTATGTAACTGTCAGGAGCCTGTAGTTCAGTGGTTGTCGTTGGTTCATGTCTGTCATATTTGTTTTTCGTAAACTGTTTTGTTATAAATAAGCCGTTAGTTTTCTCAGTTGAATTGTTTCATATTTTTCACGTCGGGGCCTTTTATAGCCGACCAAACGGTATGGGTTTTTCTAATTGTTGAAGGCCGTACGGTTGCCTATAATTGCGTACATCCACTCCATTTGAACTTTGGTGGATAGTTGTCTCATTGGCAATCATACCACATATCCTTATTTTTATATAAACCTAAACGCAAGACTTAACCAAAGACACTCAAGCATGAAATGTAGATCATAGTGACAAGTATTTTGTGGTACTACTATTAACTCATCAGATTGAAACAAATAGAAATACATCTAACAAAAACAAAAAATGGATGTGGACGGGTACTTATACATCCCAAAAATAATAAGACTCTAAGCATGCTAAGAACAGATCTGAGAGTATACAAGATGTCTGTGGTGAATACATATCATCGATATATTACCATAAGTTTCTGAGAAATGGACCTAAAGGCAAAACCTAACTGGATAGGGATGCACATTCTTATTAACGGACAAGGGTATATATATATATATATATATTATTCATCCACATTTGTGGCGGGGCATAATTAGATCCAAGCTTGGTATCTACTTCAAATATAAATAAAAACATGCAGTATAGGTGACAGAAGTATTCATTTATGAGCATATTTTAGTTTCCATACATTACTTATCCAGATTACATAAATTCCAAAAAAAATTAACCAATTAAAAAGTGTTGAAAAGCATGGTTTGATTAGTTGCAGGCCAACTTTACATGCTTATTCCATTCATATAACCTTATGACTTTTCACAGTGCGCCAGGTTTTTTTTTTATCCTGTTATGCAAATCCCTGTCACTACCTTTATTTTTTTTGGTAGGATAAGTTGACCAAATACAATGTACATGTATATGACTATCGGGACTAAAATTACTTGCATATTTGTAACTTTTTTTCCATTCAAGGTATGTGGAAGAATTATTAAAACTAAAAAACCTTAAAAAGTTTAAATTGGTAGAAAAAAATACAACACCTTCATTTGAAAATCTCTTTTTCCAGGCACAGGCTAATATCAATTTAAATTTTGAATAATTGTAATAAATCTTGAATCCTTGATACATCGAATGATTCTTCAATTGCTATCATAAACTATCACTTCCCATATGTCTATATGTACGTTCATTTATATGTAATAAAGAAATTATAATAGTATCAAATCAGTGAAATATCATGAATAACCTTTTACGTTTTGCCACTGTGATAATAATTATCAGAACTATTATTTAATCCCAACTGATTAAGCATTGCCTGATTTTAATTAATTAATTTGTTTTTAATTCTGTTCAAGAAAAGTGTACTATTATAGCAAAACACATACTGGTATAACTTTATTAATTAAGACATTTATTAATTTGACAAAATATATAGCTTAATATGAAACTTCACAAGGGCGGATCCAAAGTTTTTAAAAAAGCGGGGAGCTGGGGATAAGGTAGACGTAAATAATTTGTCAAAACATTTATCACAAGTACATTGTACCATAAGCTACATGTATTTTACTGTGCATATTGCTGTTTGTTTGCTTATTCCACATTGGCTAGAGGTATAGAGGAGGGTTAAGATCTCACAAAACATGGTAAACCTCGCCACATTTTTGCGCCTGTCCCAAGTCAGGAACCTCTGGCCTTTGTAAGTCTTGTATATTTTTTTAATTTCGGTTCCTTTATATGTTTCGGAGTTTAGTGTAATGTCTATTTTCACTGAACTAGTATACATTTTTTAGGGCTAGCCAGTAGCTGATTCCTGCCTCAAGGTGCGAGATTTTCCCGCTGTATTGAAGACCCATTGGTGGCCTTTGTCAGTTTTCTGCTATTTGGTTGGGTTGTTGTCTTTCATACATTTCCCGTATACATTCTCAATTTTATATAATTGATAATACAGACTCATGCCAGTCATGGTTGTCACTGTTTTTTTCACGAATTTAGCTGAGAATCATTTGCGTTAATTTTACGTCCAAATGATTTTATGGTCGTGAATCACTGTTGTGCTGGGATCATTTGCAGACGATGTAAATGAAGGATCGCCAGAAACTTAAAGAAGAAATACTTATATTACAGTATATTTCCTTTGTTTTTAAAATATTACATACATTTAACGCATATTACATAGTTTTTTTCTAGTGTAAAACAAGTGTGAAACTGCTTTATAAGCTACTAATATGAAGATCGTGTTCTATTATTTTTGATCTGCGTTTCAGTATTCATCACAAACAGCCCATGTGTTCGATTATTATGAATTATCTTGTCTTTGTCTCCTCTCACTGGCAAGAACATGCCATTTTTCCCCAAAACGGAAGTGATTTGCAACAATGAAAATTGCAATGATAAATTTTATAAAATTTTTAAATTACAGTTCTCAATTATTACACTCATTGGTAATATATTCAAATAAAATAGATTATTTATAATAATCAAAAATAATTGTGATTGCCAATTACGACTTACGACTTACGATATCGTTGCGCAACATCCAGCACAGTAGGCGCGAAAATTCAAACCCGCGAGCCCCTTTAAGGTTGTAAAAACACATGTTATATACATATAAGATTGTGTAACCTAAATTTATACGTCTATTAATATGAAGACTGTTGAGCTTATCCGAAGATTTCTTAAATCGAGTCTAGTTTAGCGATTACGTTGTCAGTTAAGGCACGAGTTCCTTCATATTTTGTATACGTACAAATATTTTTTTTATATTGTAGATTAACCAGACCCAGTTATATCAAAAGTCAAACATTTCATTTTGAACACGTTAATCTTACGTAGTGATGAGTTGGGAATGGCTATTCTGTGTATACAATAAATTAAAATACATGTAAATAAATAAAACAAATTAAATTTATTTAGATATATGTTATATGAATATAAAAGTTAACCTATAAACAAAATTTTAAAATTTACTTAAAAAAACAACAAATGCTTTATAACATTCAAACACACAGATACCTTTTGTGACTGAAGATAACCAGACAACACATTATTAAATCCACACACAATAAAAACTATAATTAAAGAGGCATTAGCTGTCAAAGTCATGTTTACCATTTCGACTCAAAATTTGATATATTAATTATAACATGTTTGAACGTTTATCCAAATTACAAAAAGTACTAAAGAATCAATTCACAATGCATGGACTCGTTGTAATGTATCGTTTGTTTGATTTCATGTCATAGATTAAAAATATAGTAAATCATCATTTTACCTTTATTTGAATGATTTTTCAACGAAAGGAATCTTTTTGAGCATATTTTGACAAAATTAAACAAACCTGACTGCTGAAATCATTTCACAATTCCGCTTTGATAAATGTTTGAAACAAAAAAAAATCCTAGATAAATAATGTCCCTTTAAATTTATAGTAACTTGTAGTTTAATGAAAACATATCATAATATTGACTTTTGAACTAGTATATATAGTAATGTACATGAAAAGTAAGCACACATTGATTACATAAGATTTATCTCAGTGTAACAATTTTGCAAAATAAGATGATTTTTTTTTCTAAAAGTATACAAAGTTGATGGTTATGACAAGGTTCCTTTTTTAAACTTCTCACGTATTTCTCTACCATCTAAAGCCTTTATTTGAAGGTACTATCAAACACAATTACATTAACACGTCGAAAAGTATGTTACTATGATGACAAACATAGGTAATATCATTCAGAACTAATATGTTAAACTTTGTATGCCATGCTTACTATAAAAACGCTTTATCAAAATTTTCAGTTCTTTAATGACAAACGATATCTTATATGTCAGATTACTCCAGTTCATAATAAATTCTTCACCGGTCATTATATCATGGTCATGATCACGTGACATCATGAAGGTATCATGTTATTGACCTTACCGCGGAACGTAATACCTAATATTGTCTCTCTTATCTTCTAAAATAAATTCGTTGTCACGCATCTGTTGATCGTGAAGACGTTTGTTCTTCTTTTTCTTTCTACGCCTTCGTTTTCTGCGCCTTTCTTCCTCATCATATGTGCAAGTTATATCGGAATATGTGTTGTTACTTGCTAGTTGTTTTTGTTCACTGTAAGAAGATGATGTAATGAGTTCTATAATATTATAATTTTGATATGAGACTGTTAGCAACAATTTATAAAAATATATTACATATACAAAAAACCTAACACTAATCGACATTTTAATACAAGGTGTTAAACATACGTATGATTGCGATTTCAGCGAACGCAAGTGTTTCTTGAATAAGGCATTATGTAGTAAAATAAAACACAAATTATATAAATGACTTAAGTATAAAAAAAATGAACGTTCTACTTACGGTTGTTCATAATCTTCAGGCTGAAGGACCTCAGACTTGTTAATCTCAAAGTCATACGACGTGTCAGAGTGCGGACTAGAAAATAACAAATTGAAAATGAATTAACATATTTACTAAGAATCAGATGGTTTCAATGTCAATTATGATAGTATGCATACTGAAAGTCTAATAAAGGAGTCCTACTGAAGGTCGACTTAAGAAAGAATTCTTACTTAATGTCTGTCTAAAAAAGGATCCCTACTGAAAGTCAAATAAAGAAATGATGCGAACTGAAGATCTGACGGTCAGTCTAGAATAGGATTCTTACTAAATTTGAGGCTAAGAAAAGGATGCTAACTGAAGATCAGGCCGAGAAAGGATACATACTGAAGGTCAAGCTAAAAAAAGATGCTAAGGTCAGGCTAAGGAAAGATGCTGCGGTCATCGTAAGAAAGAATACTCGCTGAAGGATAACCTTAGAAAGGATGCTTACCGAAGTTCATGCTACAAAAGGATGCATACTGAAGGTCAGGCTGATAGAAGATGCAAAGGTCAGGCTAGGAAAAGATGCTAACTAAATTCCAGGCTACAAAATGATGATTATTGAAGTTAAGGCTGAAAAAGGATACATACTGAATGTCAGGTTCAGAAAAAAATGATAAGGTCAGGCTAAGAAAAGATGCTAAGTTCATGGTAAGAAAGAATACTTGCTGAATGTCAGGCTAAGAAAGGATGCTTATCGAAGTTCAAGCTAAGAAAGGATGCATACTGAGGGTCAGGCTGATGAAAAATGCTAAGATCAGGCTCCGAAAAGATGCTAAGGTCAAGATAAGAAAGAATGTCTATGTCATGCTGAGAAAAGATGCTTACTGAAGGTCAGGCTAAGAAAGGAGGCCCACTGAAGGTCAAGAATGAACACTTACTGACGGGAAGACTCAGAAAGGATGCTCACTAAAGGTCAGTCTAGAATAGGATTCTTACTTAAGTTCAGGCTAGGAAGAGGATGCTTAATGAAGGTCAGGCTAAACGAGGGTGCTTACTGAAGGTCAGATAAGGAAAGAATGCTTACTGAAGGTTAGTCTGAAAAAAGATGCTAAAGGACAGACTAGGAAAGGATGCTAAGATCAGGCTTAGAAAAGATGCTTATTAAATCAGGCTACGTAGGATATTTCCTGAAAGACAATAATATAATTATAATAATAAATGTAGACAGCAGTCTAACAATTAAAACAAAAAGCTGTAAATTATAAGGGTTAACACCATGAGCACGGGAACACATTGTCCTCGATCTACACCGCATGAGCTTTCTGCTTACAATACGATAGTGTAATCATGAAATTAGGGTCGTACTGCGGTTTGTACTCTACATTCACGTTCTTTGTTATATTTGGGACAGTTGTCTCTAAATTGGTTAATTGGTTTAATACATTTGTGTTTTTGATAGAAATGCAATAATTACATTTTCGAATATTTTCACTAGGGAACCTAAAAAAGTATTTTTTAGACCTTTTTTGCCGTTTAGAATCAAACTATTGTTAATGAACGACGACCTGTTTTTGTTCATTTTTTCTCGTTTAATCCCTGTTGTATCGACATATACCCCGAAACTACATTTACCAGAGGTGAGACAAGTAATAAACATGTAATGTAAAAAAAATATGGCACCAATTCACTAGCCTTCCAACAGCAAAATAACTTACATGTACTTTTTATGTTGCTTAAGATGTGTTTCTCTCAAAGGTTTCTCTCTGAAAAAAAAAGGTGCAAATGGAAAAACGGTACAAATTATATGGTTAACATTATGTTTTTTCTACTACTGTTGGAGTAAATAACTACTAAATTCAATAATAAGCATTTAGTTAGGCTGTATCTCTAGAAGCGTGATTAAAACGGGAAATAATATCCTAATGTTTACGGTAATGTAGATTATATATACATAGATATAAGGAGATGTGGTATGAGTGCCAATGAGACAACTATCCATCCAAGTCAAACTTTTTAAAAGTAAACCATTATAGGTCATAGTACGGTCTTCAACACGGAGCCTTGGCTCACACCGAACAGCAAGCTATAAAAAGCCCCAAAAATTATTAGTGTAAAACCATTCAAACGGGAAAACCAACGGTCTAATCTATATAAAAAACGAAAAACGAGAAACACTTATGAACCACATCAACAAACGACAACAACTGAATATCAGATTCCTGTATGTATATTTAGATACGACCCAAGAAAACTTATTGTACCTTAAAATAACGTCTCCGAATCAACCCTGTTATATTATCTTCTGTAAATAGTATATATAAATAAGAAGAAAAGAACAATTGATTGTTATGTGTATAAAAAAGACATTACAAAATATAGATTGCTTTTAAGTTTGTTTGTTTTGTTTTGTTTTATCTTTATTTTATCTTGAAGTAATACTCGCTGCATTGAGATACATAGATTAAACACAATTTGTAGTATAAATATGATTATTTTTTATGAAGGAAGAATCTTGCAATCTGATTAGTTAACTATCCGGGTGTAAATAACACCCCACCCCTGTTCACCCAGAGATACAAATAATAATATTTAACTACTCGCTGCAATAAAAAATTATAAACATTTACATAAATTTCTACCAGTAAACTTACAAATATATGTAATATATATCATTTTTCTATTAAAGAAGTGAACAAAATAGTTACTTTTATTTTATTTCAATGCACTTTGTTTTCTTGCGTAGGCAGTAGAAGGGAAGTAATTATTTATTTACATCTGTTACAATGGCGACGAAAAGATTTGCTTCTCATACTGAAGCGGAAGTTTTGGTAAAAAGTGCAAATGTTGTACCATACCAATCCGCCACACTTAAAAAAAATTGACATTGTAAAGGGCTCACATCTTTTGTCGTCAAATTAAATCTTTCAGACTGCAATGTCTGAGCTCAAAACACTTGGAAATGAAAATGTACAGCACTACCCTGTAATTGAGGAGTGTGAAAACTACAAACTTTACTCAAGTATTCATATGTTGAATGACACACCATGTGGGTTGCTCAACAAGGTAGAAATGGACATTCGTCTGTATTTGTGCCGAAGAGGGCTTGGAAACATATCAGAAATAACAAAGGACACATTTATTGTTGATGTAAATCAAAATATTGGAGTAAAGTTCATTAACAAACCAAGGGTTGCATTAGTAAACACAGAAGATCAAAGGAAAAGGAACATTTTGGTGGATGTATGATGGAAAACAAGGACTGGCTCCTGTGTCCTGTGAAATCGCATGAAAAGCTTCTATCCAAACTGCATCCTGAAAATAACCGTCTTTGGCAGCGTCCCAGAGATACTTATTGTGACACTGACAATGTGTGGTACACAAAACAGGGGCTCGGTAAAGGTTATATAAGTTCGTTTAGAGTTCTTGTCTTTCATTTTTACTTATGTTCTATGTCTATATGCGATTTTCTGTTTCTTTTCTGTTTCTTTTTTTAAATAGTTATTTGTTTTTATAGTAATTAAGATTATATTACAATGTTGACTGCTGTATCCTAATTTTTGACGTTTTTACCTATTATATTTGTTTGTTTTGCTCTCACATTGTTGTCAATATAATGGAATTCTAATGTCATACAAGTGAGAGGTTTAGCTAGCTATAAAACCAGGTTTAATACAACATTTTCAACATAAGGAAATACCTGTACCAAGTCAGGAATATGACAGTTGACTTCAGATTTTGTCGGAGTTTAAAAATTTTTTAGTCATCAGTAACTTTGTCAAACTTTCATTTATCCATTCGTTTGATGTGTTTGAGCTTTTGATTTTGCCATTTGATTAAGGACTTTCCTTTTAGAATTTTCCTCGGAGTTCAGTATTTTTGTGATTTTACTTTTCATGGAATTTTATAAAATGTGGACAGAAGCTTGTTATGACAAAAAGACAGCATCCAAAGCAAATTTTTGCAAATATTTATTTTTCCGTATTTTACTGATAAATGGACTTAGTTTTTTTACAATTAACACTCAGGCTCTGTCTGAAGGTAAAGTTTTTAGTCAACAATAACTTTGTCAAAGCTGCATGGAAATTTATGAAATTTGGACAGAAGCTTGTTTATGATCAAAATATATTAACCAGAGCAAAATTTGGAAATATTTATTTTCTTTTTCTGTATTTTTCTGATAATTTGATTTAGTTATTTTTACAGTTAACAAGTTGATACAGTCTGCGGTTTAAGTTTGTTACACAACAATTGCTTTGTCAAACCTTCATAGAGTTTTATGAAACTTTGACAGTAGTTATTTAACGATTGAGAGATAACGTGTGAAGCAAACATTTGATAATATATTTTTTTTTCATTTTTAGCATTTTTCTGATAGATGGACCTCATTTTTTTCTGTAAACATTTAAAGACAGTCTCGGATAAAAAAAATTACATGATAAATTTGTACACCTTTATGGATTGTTATGAAACTTGTACAGAAGCTCATCTTCAAGACCAGAAATAACATCTAAAGAAAAAGTTTGATTATTTTTTTTAAGTCTGTATTTTACTGATAAATGGACTCATTTTTTAAGTCAACTTTACACTTTAACACAGACAGCAGCAAGCGAGACACGGTTCCGCGGAACCCCTTATGAATTTTTGTAAATACAGTGCATAGATTTATAGTATAGAGCTCCATTGTATAAATCACGTGTTAACGGAACATCAGTTTGCTTTCCGAAATTCTGCTCAACTTCCCATATTTCTTTTTAGTCATTAACACAAATACATTTTGTACTTGATCTCCTGTGCAGGATTGGTTAAACTGTTAACCAAATCATTGTCCGAAAACTAGAGCTAAAACACACACGTTTGATGCAGCTCTTTATAGTTAACAATTTGTTGGATTAGATTAACCCTATTTTGGTAAGTATTATATACTAGTCATTAGTAATTATGTCACAGAAACGAATGTATATAGAAATAAAATATTTAAAGGAAACAAAAATATAGCAAAAAAAATTAAGATGTGATTGATACCAACATACTCAAAATTACTTGATATCAAATTAAAATTACATTTTTGTTTCAAAATATAAGAAATAAGTGATTCTGTTTTGTTTGTTTACACGTAGAAAAAAACAGCAACAACAAAACGGACACCAAACATAGGTATAACTTAAATAACCTTTGTCTACTGAGACATCATTCATATATTTCATTTACAAATATTTTTGAACATTTTTGAACATGTGACTTATGTTTTTATTTCTATACTCCATCAGATAATATCTGTATTTATATTCTTGTTTAAATATTTCATAAACATTAACCTGATTTGTCTTATTATTTGAAATGCAATTACATTTGTGCAGAGTGAATAAGATAACTGTCAAGAGATAATTAATATCATTTAATGAGTCGTCTTGTATTTTATATCTTAACACCAACTGTTTAAATTTATTATGTGTTTATCACTATGAAGTTTATTCAATAGAATACAAATCTTATTCCATAAATCTTTAAAATCATTACATTCTATGAAATTATGTTGATACGTATCTGGTATCCCACATACTGAACACAAATTGGTGTTCTTGATTTTCCATGTGAAAAGATGTGTTCCTACAGGTTTTATATAGCACATGGTCACTTTCGGTTGATATTTTTCAAGATCAAGTGTCACCCAACCCATTGCAAAAAGACACTATGGCTTTATTATGTACCAGAATGAATTAACCTTTAATTTTAACATTTGAGGGACAATAACTCCTATAAGATATTATCAGATCGCTTTTGGCTAAATATACCATTTTTTCGTTTCAAAAACCCAAACATTTAGCTTCAGTTCTTTTATATCTTTTCATATTTATTGTATTTCTTTTAATTTTTTCTTGCTTATGGTCCCAAATGAAGCCATCAATCATTTTTTTAAACTGATATAATGAGTCTTTGTTAATGTTAGAAACTGAAGCTCAATATGTAATAGTTCGTATAACCTGAAATTTCACAACTGTTACGTTTTCAAGCATTCTTAACTTTCTTTTCTGCCATGAGTAAAGAATTTTGTTTAGATTTTTGAAATAGTTTTTTCTATATTTAAATTCATACATTGAGATTTCAGAACAATTTTGAAATTATTTACTGGAGCACAAATACTGTCCAAAAACAAATACCTCAGCTTTTAACTGTATTTTTGCTCCAGTAAATATTTTCAAAATTGTTCTGAATGTGTTTTAATTTACCAAAAGCTAATCCTTCTGTTTTAATTCGATTTAAAATAACTCCTCATAAGAACCAAATACTACATTGTATTAAGCGATTGAGTGATTTCATCTTTAAAGCAGAGAAACAATGTAGTACCGTCGGCTAACTGACTTATTATAAGACATTCAGCATTTAATTCAACCAACAAATACACCTCAACTGCTGTTACATGCTCCAAAAGCGCACGTAATGTTGACACATCCCATACCGTCAATACTAAAAATGCCAGATGAAATTCATGAATGTATGAACCATCCAGAACTGTTCATGAATGTCCATGAACAATGCATGAATATTCTTAAGAAGTTCATTAAGTTATTTCATGAACCGTTCATTAAATGCACCTTTATGAAATGTTAGTCAGTTGAAAACACATGCTCATAAACATTTTATGAACTTTAATGAATTAATCAAAGATAGCAAAGGGACATTCAAACTCATAAGCTAAAATAAACTGACAACGCCATGGCTAATAAAGAAAAAGACAAACAGACAAAAAAATAGTACACAAAACACAAC